ATCATCAGCCTGTAAAATGTAATTGTAAAACAATAACTCTTTTCCTTGGCCAACTTTGTGGGTGTATTGATATGACCGTATAATGTAATTGACGATATATTATGCACGTGTGAAAATTCTTCTTCTCACGCTGAATATACTCTTATACGCATAAATAACTCTTGAAGTAACATCACTGAGGATGACATGCAATCGTGCATATAGGTAGACCATGAATCAGACCTACACTTTACAAATTCAGACATGATACGCAAGAAGAGCAAGACATAGTAGTGCATATTTTGGTGTATAAAGGTTGGTTGGTAGAAGGTGTGATCATAGAATGGGTACTAATATGTGGCTTCGACATATTCTGTTTGCTTATTGTCTCTAGCTTATTTCGCCTTTGTTTCAAATCTTGATGCACATGTTGTACGGTAAGTTTGATTTGCTCTGGATTGCACTGCCATCAATGATGACCTTAGTACAACGTAAATGTATATTGTCATCGTCGTTGGATCAGTCAGAGCCTGATTCGATGAAGGAGTCAATATTAAGGCCTTCTGGTCCGCTGGTATGTGCATCGCTTGTATATTTTGGCCCACTTCGATAATGCTACAACTGAAATCAGGTGTTGCTAGTCTGGACTAGTAGATGAAGTGGCCATTCGATGTCTACCAGCTCTTCGTACGACTACTTATACAAGACTTGCTCATTTGATTGTGACGTCGTGAGAGTGTTTTTTTACTCTGATATGTAGGATAGCTATGGAATCATACTAATGTATCGATTACCAGTACTTTGTTTTATCATCGTCAGCGATAAATGATGGAGTTCCTTATACACCCTGTAGTATTTAATCCGCTATCCTTGTAAGCAATGTCCTTGAAACTTCCCTTGCTTATTCTGTATCATGACACGTCGGTAGAGTATACTGACTCTAAATCTTTGCAATAGGTGCATCGCATGTCGGCTATAACTATCCATTTTGAGATATGACATTCCTAATTGCATGAACACGATATTTATAGGTTCGTCTCGAGTTTGCGTGGACGGTTCCCGGACTACCCGTTGTTTAATGTTTTTGACCATCGCTGCGCTCGAGTTGGTCGCTCGAGTCGTGACTTCACCTTTCTCATAATTCCGAGGGCTGCAAAAATCGAACATACTTTGATTCTTATCAAGCTAAGCACCAAAGGTCCGAATGATTTGTCGTTTCATTCAATAGGCAGGGGCGACAGTGGGTGTGTAAAAAGAGAGGGGACGTATTGAGTGCAATATGGTGACATACGGTTGAGCATTGTGGAGCTTCGAAGGCTGTCGACTACAGGCAGCGCTACCATGTCCACCCACTTTCTCTAAGGTCCAGCCACGACGATCATATCATAGCTATGTAGCGTCTGGCCGATGTGGTCTCACAGAACTAAAGAAATGGGTGGGATCCAGTGAATTGTCGTCGTCCATCAGAGAGGCTATAGTCCGCACATTTTTCATGCGACTGTGGAGAAGGAACGGAGAGAAAGCTACACTACGTTGCCGCCCTTGCGCAATTTCTTTGGAATAGCCAATTTGGGAGACTGAGTCAAATTGTCATCTGTCACTATCACAGTGTCTGTGGTACCCACTGCTAGCGGGTCTAATCGAAGCACTCTTCTCGTTCAACGTGGTAGATCGGCGTGTAGACGTTGAACAGGGAATCCACAGCTAGCATGATATAGATCACCCTCTATAACCACAACATTAGATTCCATGGTCCAGTGTGCCGTCCTCAGGAATGCCCCTTCGTCCAACTATAACATGAAAGTGTGGGACTGCTGCGTGAAAAAGGCATTCTCAACCCATTCGTGGTATTGCTCAATTTACGCTGCGGTATCAATGCAAGTGACATGTATTACTATAGACAGCATGCAACAAGACGCATGACCTCGGACGTTATCTTCATGCACACATTCATAGGCACACGTCGTAATCATGATGCGTAGGGTAAAAGGATGGGCCGCCTAATCACTCATTTCGGATCATAAACCATGGGAAAAGAAGCTGCGCAATATTGCGTGTTTGCTAGCAGGAGATTTGCGACCCGCAACATGGAACACGGCATCGTAACGACAACAATTCGTCATCTTTATTACAGACAGCTCACGGTGGTGTACGCTTTACAATCAGCATGCCTCTCGTGGCGCTCGAAGGCAAGGTGTTCGCTAGACGACAGACACGTACGACAATTGATGTCGGATGCACAAGCCACGTATAGCATCTTGTATTGCTCGAGGGCTGCAAGACTTGTGAAGACACGGCAATGATACATGCCGACAGCGCTGTATTGGCTTTGATTTACTTTATGTATGTGTAATGAGCATATAGACCAGGGGTATCATGCTTACAGGTAATGCTGTAGACATGGTTCCTGCTCACGCTTTCCTGTAACAAGAAAGTGTAAGTGTTGGTACTAGGCATCACATAATGCTGGCTTGATGACCTTTACTCACGACTCGATAGATATATCCTTACACTATTCTCGACAAATCGATTCATGGATTGTGCATAAGAAGGTTTGTTGTGGATATAGCAACGATCTATCAAGCAGAGAGGACAGTAGACTCGGGTGTAGCTGACAACACACACGTGCATGTGTAAAGCAGTGGCCTCGTATGAACGATCCACATCAGTATTGCAATCAGCCAACGCTGTAGACCGGACAGCACTTTCCGGGTTTACCCGCCGATTATGCAAGCGTTGGTTTTGAGCCTGTCTAGCAAATGCGCGAAGGAACTGAACCTTGACGATCATCCTTCTTGTCATGCCCTGATAATACGTCGGCGCTACATATGTATGGATCCAGCTGGTTTAATGCTGAACGCACTCGGTGTGTGTCTGTGCGCTCATTCTAGCTTAAAAAGAAGGTGTGACCGACGCTATGACTCACAAACAACGATGCAGACCTACAATTGTTCACTAGCGCAAGCGAAGTGAGCTGGATAACATCGCTGGTGGCGCTTGGCCGCACCGCATGTGACGTACTCGAAGTCAATACGCTTCAGTGTGAAGGAATGAGTAACGTCTGGCTTCAAATTTAATACGGCCATCTCTACTTCTTTGACTTTCATGTTGAGCCAACAAGCGAATCAATTTACGTATGAACTCTGTTGCCACTGTGGGAGATGACTGAGCTCGAACGAGCGCCGTAACGTTTGCGGATAAGATCAATTGTAGCGGCTTCAATTGCGTTCGAATACGTACGAAGTTCGTTCTTACGCGTAGAGGCTGAGTACGAAACGGAAGTGTAACTTATTGTCATTCTTAGTCCGATGATGCGAAACGTTACGAGAAGCGGCTAATGCTTTCGAGGCACTTCGACAAAAATACATTTTTCGCAACGACATTGACACCTTTCTTCTGCAACATCCGAACTTGCTTTGGGTACACACTGCAGCAACGAAGTCGATCTAGCGAACCTTACGATATCGGGCATATACCACGATGCTAAGCATCCAAGCTGTTGTTCATATCCAATTGCCAAGGATACGGAAAGACTTGGCACTGCTTGACGTGGCAAATCATGATCGCCTCATTGGAAGTCTGACAAGGCGACGTAACTTGTGACGCCAAAAGAAATTACCTTGATACACAACTTAAGCTTGTATAAACATTTGCAAAGGGGTCTAGCTGCCGGCCATTGCAATCCATGCTGGAACGTGCTTCAGTAGGTATTTTACAAAGTAAACAGTCATGCTTCTCCAGCTATCCGTCACCCAACTCTAGAAGCAACTGGCCAGCTCACTTCAACGTAGTATATCTTTGTCGACACTTGTGCCTAGCTACTAGCGCTCGCTCGCACTTTCCGTTATCGATGAACTGTCATCGATGAACGGACAACAACGGCGATGGCGATCACCATGCGTGGTCTCATCGTCCGACGTGCATTCACCACGTCGGAAGTGCTATGGAATAATGTCGTTTGCAGCTGAATTTGGTGCTGCATACTGGCACTTACGAGCGATGCAGCCGGTAAATACAGCATTGCACATTGGCGAATATTGCATCATATACTAGTACGAACAATTTGATTTGTTCGATAATCGATAACTTTGGATAGTAAATGCCATGTTTTGCGCTAAAGCATAATTTGAAACGCATCCTGCTCCAATCATGGTTACCGCAGCTGAGTAACAACAGAGAAGCGCACGCACTCTTACACATCGCACCTGTATCCCAAAGCTGGCACAATAGTACGCGCAACCTTCGTTGTACACCGGCTTGGCTGCTTCTCTTACTTGCGCGCTGAAAATTGTTCTGGACTACATCATCCTACAGAGGGCAGGCCCCCCATCACATCCAGCATTCATGCAGTTTGGCCGCTCACCGCATTTGCTTCGACCCTTTTCAAACTTGTCCATCGAAAAGCGTGACCGTCGCAATAACCATCCGATAGAATCAATCGTGCACTGACGCTTATCAACTCAACGACAATGTTCGCGAATAGTAAAAGGCCCCCCCCTCAGGCCATCGTGCACACCCATGTCGCGAAATGTACGACGTGGCTTTGTGTGAAGCATGAGGCATGTCGACAAAGCTCACATCAATACGATGCAAGCACTGCGGTGTCGGGCGCACATGATGCGACCACAAGTGTACAAAGTGGCCGCGTCCGCTTTGCTCACTGACTTTCACGTTTCTTTCCTTTTCCATTCCTTTATTCCAATGGCCACATGTAAGGAAATTAAAAAAAAACTCACGCGCGCAGCTGTTTATTCGGCCTCCACATCGTGCGCTTTGCGCCGTCGCCAGCGGATTCGAAAAGGTCCGTGGCCTCGAAACCTCGCGAATAGCATACAACCACCTGGTTGTCGTCCCTCACGGGTGTATACACACGCACACGCACACGCACGTACACCATTCCATCGCCGTGCGCGCACGTCTGATTCCAGCCAATCACCACGTCGTGCGCTGCTGGCTCTCTTCCCCTCCCAAAACCGATCAAGCGCTCGCTCGGCCGGGCCCCAGTTCCGCATTCCTCCGACATGCGACTCGTGCACTGGTCGCTGCTGCCGCTCGGCGCGTCGCTTCTGCCGCCGGCCGTCGCCGACACAGACGCCTCGGCGTCGTCCGCTGCTTCGTCTGTCGCCTGGTGCGCCGACGCCAGTGCCAGCGCTGTGCTCACGTACTGCGGAGACGCCTGCGAGGCCGGCGACCCGTGCGTCCAGTACCGCGAGGCGTCGAGCTGCAGCGACGCGTCGCGCAACGACTGCGAGCGCCACAGCTCTGCGTGCACGTTCCAGTGCCTCGACGCGTACAATTCGGTCGCGCGCAAGTTCACTGTGTTTGTCAAAGAGCCAGAGCCGTCGGACACGTGGACGGCCAGTGAGAGTGGCAGTGAGGCCGCTGCGTTCCCCAGCGCCGCTTTCGACGCCGTCACGGGCGTCGTCTACACGGAAACGACGCGGAACATGTGCGTGTTGTGCTGTCTGCGCGTGTCCAGCGCCGTTTGCTTGTTTTGCGTGCTTTTCTGTCGGTCAGAAATTGGTGTCTGGGACAGGAGGAGTCGGTGGGGAGTGGGGACGGCCTGATGTGCTGACGTGCGACTCGTTTTGCTTACTTGCAGTCAGATCACCGGGTTCGATGACACGAACGTGCAGAAAGGTGCACTGAAGACAGTGACGTTTGACGCAAACACGTTTGCGACGGCGAAAGTGCTGGAACAATTGTCAGTGGAGAGCGAACATTAGTGTTTTGCTTGCTCTTTCGTCAGTGACATGAGCTGCAGTGTTGACAGCTGTGGTGCATGTGGCGCGTGTGATGGACTGTGTGGCTGATTGTGTGCAGGATCTTGACCAACCTGGATCTCAAAGTGCTTCCTACTGGGTTCTTGCCGACCACGGTGTCTTTACTGTAGGTGGCGTTGGTGGGCTTTGTGTGTGTGTGTGTCTGTTTGATTTATTTGTATCGCCGAGTGGCAGCTTTTACTTGAATTCGCTGCAGTTGTCGTGTTTCTGACTAGCTCACGATGAATATTGCGCGACTATATGTTTGTCTCGTTTGTTTTTTTCTGGCGTCGAAAGAACAATTGAGAATTGCAACTTGGCCAGCCTACCGTCTCAATTGGGAAACCTTGCAAACAACAATTTGGTGACGCTGTGAGTTTGTGTATGCCGTTTTCTACGTGCATGCGCCGAGACTGACCTGCTGCATCTTGTGTGTGCTTCGACGCAGGAACCTGAACAAGAACACAATGACTAGTGTGACGGATTCGGATAGCTCGGTCACAAAGACTTTGCAGGGGCTGACTACGCTGTACGTACATTCTGATATTTTATGGCGTGCTTCTGATTGCAGACACTTGACATGTTACGCACTTGCTTTTTGCACGTGACTGCTTGCATTGCAGAAACCTGACAGACAACTCTATCGCCACGTTTGAAGTGTCGCTTCCATCGATCAATACATTGTACGGTCTTTTTCTTTCATATCCGCCAAGTTACAGGGGACTTGACATTGTTTTCGCTGCTTATGGCTTTCAGAGACTTGTCACATAACAAACTGACCGAGTTTCCAACCGTTGTCTTTAATATGACGAATCTCAACATCCTGTGCGTATGCTACCTGACTTGTTTTCTGCTTGTGTGAGTTATGTGCTTACACACGTGTGCGCCGTACATTGTTTGTAGAAATATGGCTGGCAACAGCATCAGCGCGTTGGCCGTAACGACCGTACAATATAATTTCCTGCGGAGACTGTCACCCGATAGCAAGTTGGGCATTACCACCAGCGCTTGCCCTCGCGGCGTCGCCACCGACGTTTTGGACTCGGTGGTCTGCGTGTCTGATGATGCTGCGTCTCTTTCAGGTGGGGCGGCTACTGAGCGTCTGATGCGTTGTTGGATACGGCGTGCTGGCACTTTTTGCTAACTCTCTTTGTGTCAAATTCCAGACTCTTCTTCAGGCAGTAGCACTCTGATTATTGCCGTTGTCGTGCTGGCAATAGTAGTTGTGCTCGGTACTGCAGGATTCTTCTTTTACCGGCACCGTATGAAAAACCGCGGGTGTTACGGCGCGAGTACACCAAATATGGTGGGAATGGCGACTCCTCTATCCGCGAACATTGTTCCTGCACGCAACAGGGCAGGAAGCCGTGGTCGTGCGTCATCACAACAGCGACCTCCGGTTGGCGGCGGTCGTACCCCTCGCAGTTCGATTCCGAACCTGTTGCAACTCGCTGGATTTTCGGACCGCGGTAAGAAAATGTCCGATGCGCAACCCCGTCGTAGCAGCTTGCAGTCTACGTTCCCCCTTGGAGGAGGCAATCAATCTCGGAGCTCCATCATCAGTGCCAGGGTGGTCCGAATTCCAGGCGACGAGATCAACTACACTCGCAAAATTGCTAAGGGTGCTTTTGGCGAGGTATGGCTAGCGTTATATGGTGAGGATTTAGTTGCTGTCAAGAAACTGATCACTGTCGAAGGAACGAGCGTGCGAGAATTCGTTACGGAACTAAACTTGCTAGCATCGTTATCGCATCGATGCATTCTTTCTCTGGTCGGTGCTTGCTGGGACGACGGATTGAGCGATATCCAGATTGTCATGGAGTACATGGATTCTGGCGACTTGTTGTCGGTTCTTCGGACGAACCCACCGTCAGCGCTGACTTGGGAGAATGGCAAGGCTACATACTGTTTACAAGTGTGCGAGGCAGTTTATTACTTACACAGCTTTCAGCCCGCACTGATTCATCGCGATATCAAGTCACGTAACATTTTGGTGGATTCCGAGAAGGGAGCAAAATTGTCTGATTTTGGCGAGAGTCGTGAACGTACTGTGGCGCGAACAATGACGGCTGGCGTTGGCACAGCTCGCTGGGTGGCGCCTGAAATTATTCTAGGCGAGGATTACAGCGAACTCGCTGATATTTACTCGCTCGGTGTCTTGCTAACAGAAATGGACACGCACCAGATTCCGTACCAGACACTGGGTCTCGAGGAGTCAACGATTGTCCAGCAGGTTGCTGTAGGAAAGCTGAGGCCGAAGGTATCGGACACCTGTCCAGAGACTATCCGCCGATTGACTCACGAGTGTCTCCAGTACGACCCCAGTCTACGGCCGTCAGCGGCCCGCGTGCTTCAGACTCTCTTGGCCTCACCGCTGGTTCGCCAGCCATCGAATAATCAAACAGCAGACTAGAGCCGACTAGATAGCGGGTTATATGCGTTCGTCGTCAAGAATGCGGCGGGCGTCTTTTTGCCTCGAAGATCCAACCATTAGTGCTGTATCTCGTTGTGTCAAGATTTGGTGGATGTATTTTTTCCTGAATTATCGTATTGGCCGTCCTCCTTTCCTGTTGCTGCAGACACGGCTTTCTGTCGCCCATTGCAGCGCGGCTGCCTTGTTGGCGCTGGTTTGAGCTTAAGTCATCGTCAGAACTCTCACTTATTGACGGCCGATTCATCTCGATCGATACATCGTGGCGGCTGTTGACGGGTTTGACGATCGTGCCACTTCTGTTCCGTGAAGCATTGCACGACTTAGTATGACCGCGAGAAAGAAGGCACTGTTGATGCAATGTGGCATTTCGGAACAGCGCCTTCACGTATTGTGCGCTTGTATTGGCTAGCATCGACCTTCAGTGTGCTTGTCGCCGGCCAAAGCAAACGACAGTAATTGCTGCTGAATGAAGCTGGTGCTCGAGTGACGATGGCTTCTGCTAGCGCGTTGATGAACTGTGGATGTCGGACAGGTATTCCGCTGAAAGCTTGCGGAAAAGGGTCAGTTGGAGGCATGAAGGCGACTGTAGCCGCAGCATTCCTTTGTAGAATCGCACTCAAGTTACAGTTGCGCGGGGTCAGCAAATCTGTTGTAGCCTCTCACTTTTGCTGCTATGGATGAAGGCTTACGACCGGGGTCGATACAAGCTATCCTGGTCATTAGACCTGCCAGGTCTTCACGAAATTTGGCCTTGCCCATTCAGCTCGTCGTGTTGCGATCATTTCGACTCGTTGCCGACCTGCAGCAAGTTGACGTGACATCAATGCAATGTGCATGTCTCTGGTGATGGAGTTGTAGCATTGGCGGCTGGACGTGGTGAACAGCCTTTGCTCATTGTGAGGAACGTGCGATGCTCCGAAAGACATCAGCTTATACAAGTAGCAGAGGGAGTTGTTGACGTCGTCAGGTGCCGTAGTTGACGCGATTCCATGCTGTGTGGTTCACCAAGTAGCTGCGGTACCTGTCTCCACGATGTTGAAGCGACGAACAATGAAAGAGTCAATGCGAGGTTGGACGACACAAAGCTCGCACGATCGTTTTGTACGAGCGCTTGACTTGACTTGGAGGATCACTGGATGTTTTGTGTCTGGCGGCAGGTACGACTTTTGTTTGAAGCTCAGTTTTCGACGGTCATTGGTTTGCATCAAAGCAGTACGAGAGTCTGTCGATGAGTGGCTTATAGCAGGGAGTTAGAAACCCACTTGGGAACACCGATGTTATTAGGCTTGATAGCAGCAGAGTAGTTTATAGGACGGTGGGGAGGTAGCAGAAGCAGGACGGCTGCATCGCTAAGCTAGAAGGAATGTATACCATGACAGATTCTCGAATTTCGGTGAGGCGTTCATCCACACACGAGAGGCAGACAACGAGACGTGTTGAACGTGACATTCGGTATGTGCGGCATTCGTATTCTTCGCTAGAGACAGGACGTGCAGTAAATGTGGTGATGTCCCTATACTTGCAAAAAGTATCGTCTACAGACAAGTGCGCAGACGCACATCCATCTACGCGGATGCACGTGTTTGTCATGGTGCAAGGACTACTGCATCGTTGTGTATTTTCTAATGTTTGCTGCTCGAAGACTATGAATGCGAGGAAGATTAATGACTACCATCAAGCTATCGAGTATACAGTCCTTTTCGGGCAGGCTGGCGAATCTACACTCTAATCCACGGTGACCGCCTTGGCCAGGTTACGCGGCAAATCGGGGTTGATACCCTTGCGCAGAGCAAGCTCGTACGCAATCAGCTGCAGCGGAATGGTCGCGAGTAGAGCGGTCATGGGGCCATTCGTCGAGATCGGAATCACCTCGTCAGCAATGTTCTTGCACATCGCCGGGTTGTCCGTAATGACAATGGTGTGCGCACCACGGGCACGCACGGACTCAGCGGCGGTCTTCATGAACGAGGCGTGCTCGTCATCCAGCACGATCAAAATGATCGGCGTGGCACCAAACTTACCACCATCTTCCCCTTCAATGAGCGCAAAGGGACCGTGCTTCAGTGCGCCGCCAGGGTAGCCCTCAGCGTGCAAGTACGTGATCTCCTTGATCTTCAGCGCACCTTCGTAGGCGATAGGCTCGCCGTATCCTCGACCAAGCACAAAAAGGTGCTCAGCGGACACCAACTTGTCAGCAATCTTTGCGCACTGGTCCCGCGAGCGCAACGCCATGCCAATTGCGATTGGAAGGCGGTGCAGGCTCTGGATCAGCTCCGCCATCTTGGCACGGTTACCGTCAGGGCGATTCTGCGCAAACCACGACGCAATGAGTCCCACGACCGTGACCTGAGTAACAAACGCTTTGGTGCTAGCAACAGCATTCTCGCGACCAGCGTTCAGGTACACGCCGCATTTTGTTGTGCGCGCGATGAGTGATCCCACAGTGTTTACGACCGAGAATGTTGGCACTTCAGATTGCAGCTCTTCAGCAGTCTTCAAAGCACGGTGGACATCCTTCGTCTCGCCAGATTGGGACAAAACAAGCAAACCGCCATCCTTTTTCGGAAATCGATCACTAGTGCATTCCGATGCATCCTCTGTGGCCACACTCTCGAACGCATTGAGTGATCGCATCAGCTTCGCGCCGTACTTGCTTGCATAGAGTGAGGTGCCACACGCAGCAATCAGGAGATGCTTGATATGAAGCATTCGTTCTTTCTCCGCCTCTAACCCACCAAGATAGACGTGGTCATCCGACACGCGGCCACCGTATCCCAATGATGCCGCCACCGCTTTTGGTTGCTCCATAATCTCACGCAACGTCCAGTGTGGATATGGTGCCGGCGAGAGTCGCACCTTAACATCTGGCGCCACGGCCAATCGGCTAGTCGGGAAACGCTGCAAGAACCCTTCTTCTTTGCCATCGTCGTTCGGGTTCAACTCTGCCGAGTCGCTTTTGATCACTGCTACTTCGCCATCCTTCAGCGAGACAAATCGCTTGGCATAGCGACTAAAAGCTGTGGTCTCAGACGCCACGAACATCTCGTTCGATCCGTATCCGATGCACAAGGGCGATCCATTGCGTGCAATGACAATCTTGCCCGGTTCGTCCCGTGCCATGACACAAAGTCCCCACGTGCCTTCTAGTTTCTTGAGCGCCAGCCGCACTGCCGTGAGCAAATCCGCTCCCTCACCCATCAGGTGTCCAATGAGCTGCGCCGCCACTTCCGTGTCCGTCTGCGACGAAAAGGCAACGCCTTCGTCCAGTAGCTCCTGTTTCACTTCGTAATAGTTTGTAAACGTGCCATTGTGCACGAGAGCTACGCGTCCATGCATGTCCATGTGCGGGTGCGAATTGCAGTCCGTCTTGGCACCGTGCGTCGCCCAGCGCGTGTGTGCAATACCGGCCGTATTACCCTCGTGCTTGCCTTTGGTCTCGCGCAACAAATGAATCGAGTCGGCTGTGCCAACTACCGAAGCAAATTTCGTCGTAACCAAAGGTGCTGCTCCCTCCCTCTTGGCTGCAGCCACTTCATCTCCTTCTTCATCAGTAGTCTCGCCGTCCGTGCTTGTACTCGCCCTACTAGTGCTACTAGTAGTAGCAGTGTTTGACTGCGTGGTCATGCCCGCCGAGTCGTAGCCACGGTTCTGGAGAATCGTCAGTCCTTCCAACAGAAACTCCGATGCGCTCTGTGTCTTGCTCACGACGCCGACGATACCACAGCAGTCAGCCGACGAGTGGTCGTATGAAAGATACGCCGTCATCGATAGGCCAATTGTACCTGCAGCAAGCGCCACAAGCCACGAAGAGCTCGAGTCATAACGGAAGTGACAGCGATGTCGGTACTGCTGTTGGGACGGACGCGGGTGCGGGTGACAGTGATGGTGACGGTCACTGACAGGGGCGGGAGAGACGGAGATGGAGCTTGAAACTGCAGTTGCGCGCACTGCGCCCCGCGTCGAGAGCGCGCGACGCGCAGGAGAGAGCAGCAAGCGGCGCCACATGGCGGTCAGAGGGGCAAACGAAGAGCTCCGATACAGCGATTGGTGGAAATCGTGACACGTTGTTGTACTGCGGCGAAAGGGGCAATTGTGATTTGGTAGTAATTGTGTCGTCGTCGCGTTGTGTCCAGAAACGAGAAATAGAGAGCAAAGTCGGAGGTGGCACATCTTTTTAGTCGATCTGTGTGTGTGTGTGCTGCTTGACCTGCGTCGGTGCGAGGTCAAGTCACTGACTCTCGAGAGTATGTGGACGAGAAAAGCTGACGGATCACGAGGTGATCACAAGAACGTGTTGATCTTGATGCGAGTGTTCTGCGAAATTCAGTTACACGAGCTCCCACCAAATTTAGATGATGGTGCGTGGACTGGATACGCATCCAGAATTATCGTCGAGATGGCACTCTTCCTTTCTCTTTGCGTTCGAAAGCGTGCAGATTGAGAATCGCTTGGCATTACGAGCTGTGAGGTACAGCGCTCATTACTGTAACCGAGTGAGAAGAGTTTCTTGTAGCGCAGACAGCAGCGAAAAGTGTGTACATATTATGAGACGCACGTTTGCTGGATCAAACCAAAATAAAACATGATCAACTTACGTTTGGGCGTGCACATCCCGATGAACTGCGCACGTCAGCGTTGGTGGTGACCTCAAGCCCTCACATGTGCGTTGCTGTCGATATTACTAGGCAGAAACGTGGAGTAGAACGTGGCGAGACGTTACGTGTCATTAGCACGAATTGAGTTTTAATATTATCAAAATCGTAAACATTCCCGAATGTTACTCTTGCAAGTCAATGTTGTAGAAACATCACCTGAAGATGTGATATTCGGCACTGATCCACTGTTGAGTTCTATTGGCCATGACATCAAGCATATAGACAAAATTGCTGCTGGACGCGCGCAATGTGTTGAGCGAGATTACACACTACAATTTGTTGTTAAAAATAGCTCAAGTAGGATAAAGAAGGTTTGTCCATGGGGCCCATTTTAAATTTACAGTCTTCCTTTTCTTCTTCTTTGAGCAAGAGTTGATCCAAATCTTCAGTTCCTTTACACGCACGGTGTACGTGACATATAGGAGGCACATCCTTGATATGTTTCGGTACAAGCGCTTACCATTTATCTGGTAAGAAGTGTTTTCCATGAAATGTATGCTGTCTACAACACCTAAGTCTACCGTCTTTTTTTGCTCGATAGATCGTTGCTAGATCCACAACAAACCTTCTTATGCACAATCCATGAACAGATTTGTCGAGAATAGTGTAAGGATATATCTATCGAGTCGTGAGTAAAGGTCATCAAGCCAGCATTATGTGATGCCTAGTACCAACACTTACACTTTCTTGTTACAGGAAAGCGTGAGCAGGAACCATGTCTACAGCATTACCGGTAAGCATGATAATCCTGGTCTATATGTTCATTACACATACATAAAGTAAATCAAAGCCAATACAGCGCTGTCGGCATGTATCATTGCCGTGTCTATATAAGTCTTGCAGCCCTCGAGCAATACAAGATGCTATACGTGGCTTGTGCATCCGACGTCAATTGTCGTATGTGTCTGTCGTCTAGCAAACACCTGCCTTCGAGCGCCACGAGAGGCATGTCGATTGTAAAGCGTACACCACCGTGAGCTGTCTGTAATAACGATGACGAATTGTTGTCGTTACGATGCCGTGTTCCATGTTGCGGGTCGAAAATCTCTTGCTAGCAAACACGCAATATTGCGCAGCTTCTTTTCCCATGGTTTATGATCCGAAATGAGTGATCATGTGAGCGTTTCTGTGCGATGAAGTCGGCTATTGTCGTATTTGCTAATCAAAAAGATACATAGACTTGATAGGGTCGTATCTGAAACAAATTATGGACTTCAGCCACTCGATAGTCCTTACGGCTTCCAGCCATTTGATGTTTCTACCTTGTAATCTCCTTTTGCAACTTGTCTTATCCTAGATTATTATTTGTTGCTAACACCTCTTAGCGAAAGTCTGTTGTGTCACATACATGACAAGACAAATAGCGTGGTATGGGAAAATTAGCATCGTGGGCATCCCGAACACCAGGTCGTAGGTGTCAGCCACAATAATCTCGATCATGGCAGAACTTAGACCCTCGCTCAACCGCATGATACCCTCATATCAAAATAATAATTACATCTACTGTCGATGATAAGTTGTGCAAAACCACCCTACTTGAATGTGCAAACAAAAGACCAACGATTGCGTGCCGAGATACTTATCGCTGCAATAGGACTACAATACACTCCGACATGATGTGCGAGCGAATAGTGCATGCCTATGCTGCCAAGCTTGAGCTCTTAAGAATGTCAATTAATATTTACTTGAATTAGTGTGTAACTAAATCGTCCGTCCATAGCCCGGCTATAGTCGAACACAGTCAAAATAACTCAATGCGAATTCTCGCATCAGTCTCAACAGATTTGTTACACATCGGTTGAACGTTGTAGGGACGTTTCTCATATCCTGTGGAATCACTAGCCACTCTCACAGCACACCTCTGGGGATGCTCACTGTTGTGTACAAAATTTCCCGTTCACGCATAAGGATCTGATAGAATTTATCCATAAGATCCATGGACGGGAAGAAGGTACTCTTTGACATACCATCTATGATCACGTCCTTCCTTGGTATCGGCGTCTGATCCGGTACCGAGGCAGAATTCAACTTGTTGATTGCGTGCACTATCCGCCATCCCCCTGCAGACTTTTGCACAAAGAAGATCAGAGATCTGTGAGGAGAAGCTAATTATCTCACATGGCCCGCTGCAAAGCGATCAGCAAAGAACTTGTCGATCGCGACTTCTTGTTCACGAGGCAGTGGCCACTGCTTCATGACACAGTACTTCGAGCCCGGTTTGAGCTCGATTTCGTGTCGAGTGCCATTATCTTAAGGCAACTCGCAGGGTACGGAATCAGGGAACACATCTGTGAATTCGATCAAATCCTTATACAAACGATTTGCCTGAAGCTACTCCCAGAATTGAGACGTGTATCGTTCAATCCTAGTCTTATCATCAAGGACACTTTCGTCCACCGATAAGCTGCAAAGAACCCATTCGTTCTCATCAAAATACTGTTGACGACCGAATATCGGCCACATACTCATCATGTGTGACGAGTATGCAGATCTGATTGACTTTGCCACTACGCAGATCGCGCAAGAACCGTTTCGGTTCTAGCGTTGGCAATTGAGTTATCTTCGAAGTTAGCTTCAGAGGCACAATCAGGTAAAGCGTATAAGCGACTACGCTTGATCTGGCACTGACCAAGACGCACAACGTCTCGGTTTCTTCCTAAAAACTTGCTTCTTCAGGCTGCTGATGGCTTGTCCGCTCAGGTTGCTGAGAGCCTAATCCCTCAGTATTTAAGTCTTGAGGAAGTCCTTCCTCAAGCACGTGGGGACTTATACCCTCGACGTCTTCTGACTGTGGCTGTGCAACCACAGTCAGGTCCCGATCCTCTACGGTCGACTCTCCCATCAACCTAGGATAACCGCGTTGTCGTATGTGGACAACTGGTTTGACTTTTCTAGGATGTTGCGCGCTAGGCAAGCATCCATGTCCCGGTCCACTCGACTTATTCGAGTGGTGGACCTTCGGCGCCGCCTGTACTTCTGTACAGCCGCCGGGATCTTCATCCACAGTGTAGTGATCAACTACACTGTGATCTTGTGCAGTCGTGCTAATGACCGTACCGAAAATGAAGCCATCGCACTCACTCGCAATACATCCACACGCTTGTGGATGCTCCATGACGTTCATCAGATGGTCATCTGATGAACGAGCGGCAGGCATTTTTACGGATCGATGTTGCCAGCTCACTCTTGGCTCGTACCTTCTGAGCCCAGGTAATCCTAGGATGACATCAAATTTTTCATCCAGATCAGTATGATGAAGTCATCATCGTAATGTTCGCCTTCTAACGTGTAGTAGATACGTACTACACGTTTTCCCAACGGTCATTAATGCTCCTGTAGCAAGGCGCACCGTCGTCCTCGTTAGGGGTTATATCGTGCTCAACGATCTTGAGCCTACGATCCTCTAGTGATTGGCGGCGAACAAAGTTGTTCGACGCCCCACAGTCAACTAGAGCACGAAGCGACAAATAAGTTTTAATTTCAAGGTGATGAGTGATATCTCATCACGAGGTGCAGAGACACACATTGACTGTGTATCTGGCTCAACTTTCGCCAAGATATTTGCAACTTTTATTGAGGTTGCTGGATCAGTAGGGCGCTCCGCCCCTACTGAACCCGGCCGTTTTTATGGTCCGCTTCGCTGTTGCGGTGTCGCAACAGCATTGGACCTACGCCCATTGTCCGTTTTGGCGAATGGTCGTTCATTTCGCTCAGTACTGCTAGGTACTGGGCGAGGGGCACTACACTTGTAAGAGTAGTGTCCCAACCCAACTTCTGGCAGCGATTTGTTTTCCGAAATTGCTTGTTGTTCGAAGAGTGAGGTCTCTCGCTCTCAACAGAGGTTTATTGGTTCTGGACCTCCGGTCTCTTGTCTTCTCGGTGAAAGATAAGAGCTTGAGCTTGTCTCATGCTTAAGTCTTCCTGTTTGCTGCTGCAATAACATCTTCTAGAGTATTCAACTCCAAGCGGAACAGGTGGCTCATGACGGGCCCGTCTTCGAGACCTTGCATGAATACAGTAATCAACGTTTGTTCATGTACTCGCTTGGCAGTTATACTACTCATGAGGAGTTGTATATTCTGAGCGTAATTGTGCACATCACGCTTACCCTGCTTGAGATTCAGGAGCTCTGATCAAGCCCTGAACTAAGCCCGTGGCGGCTCAAGCGTCTGTTTGAACCGGATCTCAAAAGATTTCAGAGACCCAAAAGCATATGAATCGCTCATCTTCATCCGTAAGGCCCAATTCTTGGCACGTCCTGACAAGTGGGCTTGAGCAAAGGTGAGTTTCATTTGCTCATCGTCGATACGGCGTGCCATTATGGCTCTGTCTAGCTCGACGAACCATAACAACAGGTATTCTTCCCCATCTCCTCTGTACTTGGAGATATCGACCTTCAAGATTTAGGGACGACGCGTGTGTTTCGTCCTGCCCACAGCAGCATTGAATTGCTGCTGTCTCAACAGCTCTGTCGGTTGAGCACCGAGTTCTCTCATCTGCTCGGCCTGTTGAGAGTCTTGCTGATGAAGCAAGGCTAATTGCTCTCTTTCGGCGACAAGTTCATTTGAATGAACCTGGCGCTAATGGCGGCTTCGTCTACGGTAGAACTCATGCTTTCCACCTCACTCCATGCGAGGTCACTCAAATGGATATAGCCTTCACGCGTGGCGTGAAAGCTCTCCTCCTCATCCAACATGTTCGTGTTGAATGAGATGATCGTGGTCGTTATACGGACTACAAAGTGCTACCAGATGTAACGGGGCACGCTCTTACCAGGTGACTGGAAAGACATTGTGTAAACCGAACACAATTCTGCGTGCTCCCGACGTCACGCACCCGTGGCGTGAAGAAGCGCGAGGAAGTAGACAGAACTAGAAAGCTCTGCCTAAGGGAAAAAGTAGAACTGCATTAAATATAGTTATGTTTCTTAATAACCCATCTTTGTCTTCATCTCACTATATTAAACTATAATCTCCTCTGTGGGTTTCTTGCTCACCACCCATTGCGCGCGTCCAGCAGCGATTGGTGATTAATTTAGTAATTGTGCCGTGTACATCAACCAAGAAGTGAAGCATCCCCGAATATTACCCTCGGGGGTAACATTCTACCAACATCACCTCTTTTCGAGTGATGTTGATTGAATATTATCCAAATAGATATATTCGAAAATTGATACATTCGTATCAATTTTATGTAATGGGCTTACCCCGTTACCGTCGTCTTTAGTGATACTTCGCCGATGTATAGTTGTTTGCGACGAGGCGAGTAAGGGCTTGCAAACAGTGTGAGTGGGTGCGTGTTGTCAAGCGATATTTACTGTGTAGTGTATTTTCGTTTAGCCTCACACGGAACCAGAAGGCGATCGTTTTCCATTTCGAACAAATTGAGCTGTGGAAAATGTATTTGGATGAGCTGAGTCAAAAGCCTATTTTAGTGTTCTCGTACTGAAAAAAACTCTTCACTTAACTCACAAAAGAGGTCATGCGTCGCCTGCGCCTCGTCTTTCACTCTCTTGCACCAGCAGCAACAGAACTGGTCCACGTTTCTTTGCAGTAATACGGTACCCATTGCAAGCAACAACAAGCGCTCAGATGGACCCATTCCTGTTTGTGGCTCGATATTGAACCGTACAGCGCTGTTCTATACAAATGCGTTCAAAGTTAGTCTCAGCGACATGCGAGCAGGCACTGCAGCCATGGAAAAAAGTCGTGTCCAAGATATGCAACGGGTTCTGTCCCTTGTCTTTGTATATCGTACGTCGACTCGTTTCTCTGACTCGCACGCAACTGCACGTCTGGATTGGCACTGTTCATTTCGGTCGCAAAGAACGACAATTCCTTCACATTCAGTTTAGCTGACGTCAGCTCTTTTTTGTGTGGCGCCATTGTCGACGTAGCTCATCTCGATCGGCATCGACTCGCCCAGCAAAGCTGCACCAACAGACCATGCACTAGGTGCCACGTCTTCATGCACTCGTTCTTTTTCTAATCGGTCTTCAGGCACTTATCGAGTGCCGAGAACTCCGAGTAGAAAGCCGTGAACCAGTCCAGTCCCTTGACCAAGTCCTCCGTGCCACACATCTCGCGAATGCTGTGCATGCTCAGCTGCGCGAGCCCGACATCGATCGTGCGGATGCCCGTGTTTGTCGACAGGATCGGACCAATTGTCGACCCGCAGCCAGTATCCTGACGCACGACAAACTCCTGAATGTTGATACCGTGGCGACGGGCGAGCTCCTTCATCAAGAACGCCGACGTGCCACTCGTAGCATAGCGCTCATTGGCATTGTACTTGATCACAGGCCCTGCATGAATTGCAGGACGGTGGTTCTGCTCATGCTTCTCAGCATAGTTGGGGTGCACGCCATGGGCCATATCAGCCGACACGACAAACGACTTCCTGGCCGCAGCGCCGCCGAGCTGTCCCTGTGCGACGCGCTCGGCCACGGACTGCATGAAATTCGACCCGGCGCCCATGAGCGACTGCGAGCCCACTTCCTCGTTGTCAAAGAGTGCAGTCACGCGGACGCTCTCGTCGTCGCCGAGCGTGTCGAGCGACTGGATCAGCGCCTGCGTGGCCAGCCACGAGCAGCAGAGGTTGTCCAAGCGCGGCGAAAAGATAAACTCGTCGAGCGCGCCACCGACGTTGGCGCCCTGTGTATCAAAGAGACACAATTCAAACTCGCAAATGTCCTCGGGCTCGACCTGGAGCTCCTTCGCAAGGAGCTGCAGCAGCACCGACGAGTGTTTGGCCGTGGCTTGACCGTCCTTGTCCCCGCCACCGCCGCCACCAACAACGCCGTCGACTGTCGTTGCTTCCAGCTCGGCACGAACAGCCGACGCAAGCACCGGCCGCAGGTGCGTCTCCGCGTTGAACACAAACTTCTCTCTGGCCGTGCGGTCCAAGTGGATCGCCAGCGTCGGGATGCGCAGAATCGGGCGGTCGAGTAGCACGAGCTTCGACTGGAAGCGCGCGTCGCCCGCGCGCACAATGACGCGCCCGGCCAGCCCCAAGTCGCGGTCGAACCACGTGTGGAAGAGCCCGCCGCCGTACGTCTCGACGCCGAGCTGCAGCCAGCCTTGCGACTCGATCGTGGACACGGGCTTGACCTTGAGGCACGGACTGTCCGTGTGGGCCGCGATCACGTGGAACCCATTGCCCGGTCGGTACTGGCCGCCCACGGCGAACGCCACGAGCGCCGACTGGTTGCGCGTCACGTAGTACTTGCCGTTGGGCTGGACCGCGTCGTCCCACACGTCGTCTTCCAGCAGCTGCGTGAAGCCAGCGGCCACGAGCGACTGCACGGTCTCGTACACGGCGTGGAAAGGCGACGGGCTCTTGTTGATGAACTGCAGGAACGCGCCCACGGTCGGTGGCGTGCGCGACGAGAGGGCCAGTTTGGTCATGGCTACACTCTCGGCGGGCAGTGGCTGTTCTCAGTGGGTCTGCGCGCTGTCGGTCGAAAGGAAAAGTGAGCCGGGAGCGACGAAACGAAGCGGTTTGTATAAGTTGTGGGAGGCAGCACACGATTGAAGCATCGGTATACCAGGGTTATCGGATCTGAGGGTTGCACGGCACCACGCGACAGAGCCGCGCGTTGATTCTAGACCGACTTGCAGCAGTGCATTGGGATCCATTCCTACAGCGGAATGTTGCCGTGCTTTTTCCATGGGTTCTTGACGTCTTTCGTCGCCAGCATGTCCAGGTCTTCGCAGATGTGACGGCGCGTGTGGACAGGCTCGATAATGTCGTCCACGAATCCACGCTGGGCTGCAACCTGATAACAATGATGAACACGACGTTCAATACGTTGACACGACGTTAGCACGAAACTCGTGTGGCAATGAGCAGCTGCTGCTGCACAAGAGCACGACCACACGCACCATAGGATTGGCAAACTTTTCCTCGTAGTCCGCAGTGTTCTCCTCGACGTTCTGCCCGCGGAAAATAATCTCCACTGCGCCCTTGGCTCCCATCACGGCAACCTCAGCTGACGGCCACCTAGCATTCATTGCCAGCAAGCACCACGAAACAGGTCAGCTATACGCGTGTCAATGTCCATGACAAGCAAGAGAGCAGACGCGCTTACGCATAGTTGATGTCGCCCCGAAGATGCTTTGAGCTCATGACGTCGTACGCGCCACCGTATGCCTTGCGCGTAATGATGGTGATCTTGGGTACCGTCGCCTCGGCGTAGGCGTACAGTAGCTTTGCGCCATGCCGAATGATCCCACCGTACTCTTGGTCCACACCCGGTAGAAAACCCGGAACGTCGACCAGCGTTACGATGGGAATGTTGAACGCGTCGCAGAAACGTACGAAACGCGCACCCTTGACGGACGAGTTAATGTCCAGACAGCCAGCAAGCTCCATGGGCTGATTCGCCAGGATGCCCACGACACGGCCTTCCATACGACCAAAACCAACAATGATGTTCTTTGCGTAGTCGGGCATGATCTCGAAAAAGTCGAACGAATCCACGACCTGGTGGATAATGTCCTTCATGTTGTACGGCACGTTCGGGTCAGGAGGCACAATGCTTTCGAGCGTGGGCACCGGACGGTGACGGTCGTCGTCTGACTTGCGCACCGGCGGCTTCTCTTTGTTGTTGAGCGGCAAGAAGTCGAAAAAGCGGCGCATCTCACGAATCGCCTCGACGTCGTTGTCAAACGCACAGTGCGCAACGCCAGACGTCTTGGTGTGCGTCGCAGCGCCCCCCAGCTCTTCTTGCGTCACCTCTTCGTTCGTCACCGTCTTGACCACCTCTGGGCCCGTTACAAACATGTACGACGAGTCCCGGCACATGAAGATGAAGTCCGTCATCGCAGGCGAGTACACAGCTCCGCCAGCACATGGCCCCATGACCATTGTCAGCTGCGGGACGACACCCGACGCCAGTACATTCAGCTGGAAAATGTCGGCATAGCCTGCGAGCGATGCCACGCCTTCCTGGATCCGAGCTCCACCAGAGTCATTCAGTCCAATGAGTGGCGCGCCTAGTTCCATGGCCTTGTTCATGATCTTGACAATCTTCTCCGCATACGTCTCGGACAGACTGCCGCCAAAGACGGTAAAGTCTTGACTAAAGACGAACGTGAGTCGACCGTTAATGAGTCCGCGGCCAGTCACAACGCCGTCTCCAGGATAGTGCTGCTTCTCCATGTTAAAGTCGGCGCACCGATGCGACTTGAGCATGTCGTACTCGCGGAAAGTGCCCTCGTCCACCAGCAGCTCAATGCGCTCGCGGGCCGTGAGTTTCCCCTTCGCGTGCTGTCTCGCCACGCGTTCGGCGCCGCCGCCTGCCAGTGCGCGTTCCCGCGCCGTCTCCAGTGTGTCTTGGAAGGCCAATTTGCGCATCGCTGGCGTGGGGATCGACGAGGCGGTTTCGTGGACCAAAGCGCTCTGCCATCGCGAGTGCCGCTGCTGCGTGACAGGGACAGAGACAGAGACAGTATGGAGAGCGTCAGAGAGAGAGAGAGAGAGAGAGAGAGAGAGAGAGAGAGAGAGAGACGGGCAGCGAGTTGCAACGTACGAGCGGGTGGCGGCGTAGCGCGCGGACGTGTCGGGCGGCGAACATGACGCGCGTTAATGTGGACGCAACAAGTTTGGAAGTGGAGCTCGTGGTGAACTTCAAGTGGGGTGTGGAAGGGGCTGAGTCGACACGGATCGAATCGCTCGGTGCATCAAACACAACTGTGAGACTTAATTAAATGTGTTGACGGAGGGCACTACGGACGAGGTTTGTGGGTGGATTGTGTGGATACCGGTAAACAGAGCGAGTATTGCCATTTTGGAGGCACGGACTGACGGAAGGCAGTTCCACATTTAGGATACCGGTATGGTACTGGGTCGTTGGCAAATGGACGAATGGAGCTGGAAGCGTCGATCTTTTGCGAAAAGGGGCACTTCGGCTGATATCGCTTCGAATGGTACGGTGTTACTATCGCGGAGACTTTCGTTTTCGCTGGATGTTCGATGCTCTGGACCCGCGTCAAAAAACGAGACTGGAAACGCGTCCCGAGTCGTTCTGTACAGACGAAACGACGTTCACAAAAGCTATGAAATGCGCGTTTTATAACGGCTTAGAGGACCCCTTTCTGTACTCACTTGCTGCAACAGTGTGTTTAAACACTTTTACTGCGTCAAAAAACGCATCGATCAAGTCGCAGAAAGAGCTCATTCTTTATGTGTCGCGCAGTAAAGCAGATCACTTTTGCAGTGCATGTCAGTTATTGCACCCGCGTCAAGGGCGACACGATGCCGATGAGAGTGCTCGACTTGGTACGAGATCAGTCTCTCTCGCTCTCGTAAAACTCTTCTGACTCACACCAGTGAACACACACACATGCAATTGTCACAAGACAAGCAAAAGAGCTGCTGCATCTACTTTTTCTGTAGTACTTTTGTCCACCTCCTCGCTCTTTCCAAAGGCGTGTGATGATGATGATGATGATGATGGTGCTATGAGCGAAGATGATTCCTAGTCCTCCTTCACCGTTGCTGCCGTGGCAGATGGGTACAAAATGAGCTCCTGGTCCTTGTCCAGAGGCTCGAAGAACGCCCCCACCTCCTTCGTCGTCACTTTGGTGACATCGCGCTTCGTCCACTTGGGGTTGTGGTCCTTGTCCACGACCACCGAGCGAACACCTTCAAAGAAGTCCGGATTCTCCATCATGCGCGTCGCCATTCGGTACTCCATTTGGAAGCACTCCGCGTACGTCTTCATCGCACCCTGTCGCATCTGCTCCAACGTCACCTTCAAGCTAAGTGGCGACATCTTCTTGAGCGTGGCCAGAGTGCCACTCGACCACTCCGTATTCATTTTCTGACCATGTTCGTGTCGCACAGAAGTAATGTCAGGACCGATCAACACAACGAACAACAACAGACCAGCGGCCGTACCTCCAGGCGCTCATAGATGCCTTCCATGGTGTCGTCCTCGTTCAAAGCGCCAAACACGGATTCAATCGTCTCGAGATACTCTGCGCATCCACGTCAACACATCATGTCAGCAAAAAAGGCACCTTCCCGCCCCATGACTGCAACATACCAGGGTCAATCTCCTGGAAAGCCTCGTCTGTCTCGAGCTCCTCCAGAGCCTCGTGAATAATCTCATCACGCTCCTCCTGAGTCACGTCTTTGGCAAACTCTAGACCTGTTAGATGGTGCACTAACGTCTCGTACTCGCTCGTCGGCAGGTAGTGTGTGGCAAGTCCCAGGCCAATCACCTCATGACCCTTGAGACGCTCGCCTGTCAGCGCAAGGTAAGTTCCTAGCTGCAGTCATTTGCATCAACCAACAACAATCAGTTCTTCCTCATTGTCGCCACGACAAACAAAACGGCAGCACTTACGCCCTGGCCTTTGAAAGCCTGTGACTTGGGCACATCAGCAACGTAGTCTTGCCCTTCACTGAGACGACGTCCGAGTCGCGGGAGCAGGTACGAGGCCCCCACATCGGGGAAAAAACCAATGGCCGTCTCCGGCATGGCAAACAGCGTCTTCTCGGTCGCTACCACAAACTTGCCGTGCATGGACAGCCCCACACCTCCGCCCATGGTGACTCCATTGAGGAACGAGATAATGGGCTTCTCGGTCGTCGCCAAGAGGTAATTCAGACGGTACTCGTTGCGGAAAAAGTCGAGCGCCAGGTGGCGCGTCGCCGGGTCTTTGCCATTGTCGGCCAGCGCGCGAATGTCGCCCCCAGCACAGAACGCTTTCCCCCCTTTTCCCGATAACACAACTGCGTTCACTGTCGCATTGGCCTCAATCGTCTGCAGTCGCTGCGTCAAGTGCTGCGTCATCGACAGCGTCAGCGCATTCAGCTTCTCCGGTCGATTGAACTCCACGGTGCGCACGCCCGTGTCCTGGCCATACAGAACCTCAGAGAACGAAGCCATGGACTTGGTCGAGAAGCTCGGGGCCGCTGCGACGCTGCAGCGCAGAGGGGGGCGCTGCAACAGCCGCCAGCGCGTCGCGACCACCCGCTGCAGGCGCATGAGATTCAAGTGTGCAGGTCGTGGATATTCTGAAACGGCCTTCCGATTGGCGGAAAAGGGATTTCTGCTCGACCAATGGAAACCGTTCATTGACGACATGTCGGCCGCCATGGAGACGACCAGTAGCGCCCGCGACGACGACGACGAGAACGACGACGACGTGGAGCTCTGGAAAGCCGCGCTGGGCGACGACAGCTTTGCCAGTGAGGCCGCGCTGGGGTATACGTCGCACCCCGAGGTGGGCGCGATCGACGCGCAGGCGAGCGAGTTGCACGCCCAACAAGTCGGTCCTCGACGCGCGAGACGCGGCGTAAAGTCGACTGCGGTCACTTCTGCTACTGCGATTGCTACTGTTTCATCGATTGCGACTGTAGCAGGAAGTGCACAGCGGGTGAAGCGCAAGAACTTTAGCAAACCGCTCCAGCTCATGTGCCTCGAACGCTATGCGCAGTACGCACGAGACGTTGGGCGGCTGCCGGACAAGCACCGAACGCAGCAGATTCTGCAGCACAGTTATGTCGAGTTTCTGAAACAAGGCGGTGCAGCAGAAGAGCCACGACTGACGCATGCCGAGTTCCTGAAGCTGATACGCAATCGACGGCGGGAAATCCATGCCAGAGCCCAGCGCGTGCCGCCACTGCTGAACAAACCGGATGAAGGCACGGCCAAGACGAAGGTAGTGTTGACGCCTGCGAAACAGAAATTGCAAGAGGAACACGCTAAAATACGGGAATTCATTGACGTTATTGACCGAGCGAGAGAACAAGCAAGGCTAGGTTCAGACCCACAACAGCAGCAGCAGCAGCAACGGCTTCGAGCACAGCAATTTGTCGTGGGCCATGATACCTGTGCTCAGCAACGCCAATCACTGCACCTTGCAACGGGACGTGACGTCACAGGGTCAGCGTCAATGATGGAAAGTTTGCCGCTACTGCCGGTAGATCCGATGGAACAAGTGGAGACAATTTTACAAATTTATCAAGAAACGCGGGACGTGCAGCGTGAAATTATGGAAACGTTACGGAAGATCAGTTGTGTGATGAACCAGCATGAAAGTCAGGGTGATGTCGGGGAGCCGCCTAGTGCCAGTGTTTGAGTTATGGAGTGAGGGTCTGTGCGATCCGAACAGCGTCATCAAATGTGGCGAGCTAATCTTTGGCCAAGTCTGTGTATCGACGTCATAGATGTAATCGCGACGCCGCAGTGGCCATGGTACCACAGGAAGCTTGAGTCTCTCTGCTCGTTGAAATGAAAGCACTTGCGTGATGTCGTGCTGAACGAAACGTGGCGAATGGTACGGCAAATCCCGCGTTATGATGCAGAGCTCATCCTTGTCGCCGTCAGATTTCTATGCTGGTTGACCGAGACATGTCACTCTTGAGTACACGAGCGCACAAGATGTATGTATGTGGGCGGTCCGCACTCGAGCAATTCGCCAAGTTTATGACCGTTGAGTGCCGGCAATACTGCAGAAGAACTGTATCGGACCTTCTTTGCAAGCTACAAAAGTTGTGCACTTGACATTCACTGGTTTCCATTCAAGTGGCACCAAGCGTCAAAGTCCACGGTAAGATTGAAAGTACGAGCATGCGAAACGGCATAGTGAGTGACGGCGAGATCGTGGCCTGCGTTCACACCAAGCTAGGATGCGACGCACATAAGTGTGTCAAAGGGTGTGAGACGTGCGTGAGCAGAGTCTGTACGTAGCTGTTGATACCGACGATTGAGGTTTCTTGGCGCGGCTAGAGTCGGCCACTCTCCGTATCTCTTGGGAACGGCAAGCACTTTTGGCGTCGATTTTGTGGTTTTTGCTTGGAGAGAGCGGTTGTTCTCGGTAAGACTTGCTGTCGAATCGTAGCCGTGCTGCGTAGACACGCAAAGCCTCACCACTTGGACAGAATCGCCTCGGAATCGACTGAGTACACATGTACGGTACACGTTATCTGGAAAAGAGCTCTATGTCGACGCTTGACCCTGCCATGAAGACATGTGAAATGCGCAGCGCCTGGACTCGCGATTTGACTGGATGAGGCGGGTTGTTTGTGCTGATATGTTGGGAGCAACCGAGTACTCAGTGTGGACGCCCACACGGATACTTAACGGCTCGTCGAGCTCTGTCAATGAGCTGGATGTATAGGATCGAAGAGTGTAAGATGCAACGGCTCATGTTTTTGCCACGGAAGACTCAAAGTCTGTTGGGACGCCTGAATTTCTAGCTCCAATGTCGCGCGGCCTGGAGCCTCCTGGGACTCACATTGCAAATGCTGGAACCTTACACTGGATGGCTGGATTGTCGGGGTCCAGCGCGTCCACAAGTAGCCGATTGCGAGTCAATGTGGGGCATGTCAGGGTAAGGTGGTGTGCACCGTTGACTGATGCTGGTTCGATGTCATATGTAATGTGTTTTATTCAAGCAATTCTCCTTGCTGACAAAGCAAACTCGGTGTATCGGATTCGCAACAAGTGTAAAAAACGAGTCGATGAGAAATCATGACTGCTTTTACTTCTAGTAGCTCAGATTCACCGATGTGTCGCTGAACGCGTGACATGGAGTGTTTCATGAAGTGGGTCGCAAATACGTATCCAAACAAGTTTGTGCATCGATGAGCCTATGGGTACCTCAGTATCAGCGGCCTATTTTCCCACGTCACGAACACAGAGCAGTCGTGCTGCAATTCGATGTTCCGAGCCATAGCTCTGCGTACGCTCGAGTATGTGGTGGAGACGCTGATCCGAATCCACAGCTTCAACTATGTTTGCTTTGACTACGTCAAAAGCGCTAGTCCTATCATATCCGTTGTGTGTCCTGTAGATACACGATGAATTGTTCCAAATATGCGCAATGACAGAGTGCACGATCCATCCTGCAACACGCATTCGTCAAACAACGTGTCAACCATTGCACGAGTCCAGTCCGAAAGTCGCACTTGGTTGTGATCAGCGTAGCGAACAACCTCCGGTGTCGCTGACGAAATCAAGCGCTTATAAAAATGGCCATGAACTGCAATCACACAAGATCTGGCGGCCGCGACAGTGAGACAGCTCCTGCTTAAATCCAGTCGCCTTCGCTATCGTCACTGTCACAGTCGACGTCGCTGTCAAAAGACGTGGAGCTTGATGACGAGTGCCAAGCCCAAGCGTCGTTCGAGTGCGCCGTTGATTTTCCCGCTGATGTAGTGCCGTGGGGATCAGAACTCGAGTGGTGGCCATGTGGGCTCGATATCGACATCTGCGACAATAGCTCCGACGAAATGTCCGAGTCGTCCAACACCGACGACGACTGCTGTTTCGTTACACTGGGACGCTCCGACACTTGAGTAACTTTGGCCGTCACGCCCCTTGGGTTCGACGGCACGCATGCTGGCGCCTGCCGCCATGTAGTGCCCGTGTCCCTATGGCGTTGCACCTGTTCTTGCTGCTGGTATTCTTGCGACATTCTCGTCGGCACCGCTACTCCCACAAACGACAAACGGAGCGGTCGGTGCGCTGCCAGCGATTGCCGCACATGCTGTTGCTCCACAGTCGCCGCTTCAATGGCATCGCTCAGCCTGCAGAGCCAGACTTCGATCTCCCTGCTGGTCCTCGCCGACACGCGGAGCAATCGCCCCGTCTCAAACAAAATGTCCAGTCCCCGTTTCACGCGGCCATTCACCTCCACCGCGCGCACCCGGCCGTACCCTTTTGCCGCTGCCCCCGTGTCCTCCGAGTCAAAGTACGACAAGACGCTTCCACGCAGTACAAAGTACCGCCGTCGCCAGCTCTTGACGCGCGCGCCTTGCTTCTTGAGCCAGCCCGCGTGCGTCACCTGTGTCGCACCCACGTCGAGACTCTCCGAAGCGGACTCGGCCTTGTGGGCCTCGCTCGGCCCGGCGGTCCCAGAAGGAGCACTGGCAGCCGACAGTGTCGAGCACCGGCCGAACGGCCGCACGGCAAACGGCGGCGGGGCCAGCATCGTAGCGTCCAGAATCAGATTGTACCACGCGCTCGTGGCTTCCGCCGACAGCGTGTAGAGCTTGAGCACGCGGCCGCCGTAGCCGTGTACGAGCAGTCCGTTGTGGATGTCGGCGCTCAGCTCGACGGTAATGACCTGCAGAGCGCCTCGCGCTTGGACTGCCGGCGACAGGTCGTCCGTGTGGTAGTACGTCAGCTGCCGCTCGCGCAGCACGAGGAACCGCTTCTTCCAGTTCTTGACCCACGAGCCCTGTTTGAAGACCCACCCGGCGCACCCCTCGCCGTAGACGCTGCTGAGGGACATGACCAGGCAACAGCACGAGCACAAGCACAACCACAAGCACAAGCACAAGCACAAGCACAAGCACAAGAGAGCGAGCGAGCGAGAGAGAGAGAGAGCACGGGACGACACGGGACACGCGCAGGGAAAAGCGGTTGTTTTAGTGGCCGCGTTGGCGGAGACGGCGGTTGAAATGGGTCCTGGTGGGTGGAAATGGGTCCTGGTGAGTGCAAATGGGTCCTGGTGGGCGGAAATGGGATGCACCTGCCCTGCGTCGAGCGTCGATGTCCTGTCACTTCTTATACGTCGGTGCTGCTCCTTCCCAGAATTGCTACAGCTGCCTCGCACGTACTGAAATAGCTGAGCTCGCACCTACGACTGCACCTGTCGAGCGCACATGCTCACCGAAAAGAAGGCCCGGGAGTGCAACTTGCTCGACAGCTGTCGTGCGCTGCTCTTTTCTGTCCCGCTGCAAGCAATCCAGTCGCTCGATAAAATCCAGTCGCTCGATAAAATCCAGTCGCTCGATAAAATCCAGTCGCTCGTTTCTTTTGGCTACAGTTTCTACACAACACACTCGCAACGCCTACCGGTATTTTCGCCACATGGGTTCAGCGTCCGCCTCGCCGTCTCACTTGAAACGGTCCACGTCTTGTGTCCGAGCCACACACCATACGGCCTCTCACTTGTCGCACCGCTGAGACCTCTGCTGCGTGCTACATGACAATGCAGCAGCAGCTCTTCCCATCCAAAGCATCGGAATTGCTGAACGGCCGCATGAGTACCGTGTTCTCCTTCATCATAGCTTCCCGACGCTCCTCTTCGAGCTCTTCTTGCAACAGCTTCTCAGTCAGTCGCATTCGACGGATCGCAGTGACACCCGGTGCCGTCGGCGAGTACGGCTTCTCGCCCTCGTCTTCGCGGTCCTCTGCCACTTCAATGAAACTCGACGTGTTGTCGGGCATTGTCTCCACTACAATGTGGCGTCGGAACGAGCTCGGAGCATACGGCTCTGGGGCACGCCCCAGTGTATCGCCTTTGCTCCCCGTCTTGTCGAGCACCGCCCGCGTGGCCTCGTACCCGCTCGAAGACGACGTGTCCATCGACCTCCAACTGGCTTCGTCCTCGGTCGCGCTCTTCACACTTGCACTCGCCTTTCGCTTTGCAAACTCCTTGTCCCGTGCATGCTTCGGGTCGTCGTCCTTGGCATCCGCTACCAACAACGGCCGTGCACCAGTCGACCGGCGTTTCGACTGCCCGTCGGCCTCGAGCAGCGCCCGACGGAGCGCCTTGTGCCAGTCGTCAATGTCCGCTTCGGACTTGCCGCCCACGCGCATCTCGCGCCCGCCTTCGAACGACACGGCCAGCGTGAAGGGCCTCGAGGCGTCTCGTTTGGCCCCTTGGACGCGGCCCCCGCCCAAGCGGTCGGCCCCAATGGTCGCCGAGTAGCTCAGCTCGCGGCCCCGCAGCACAAAGTAGCGCTTCTTCCACGTCCGAAAGTGCTGTCCTTCTTTCTCGAGCCACCCGCAGCGCTGCTGCGCGCCAGTATCGCTGCCGTTGCTGCCGTCTGTTTCTTGGACAGTGCAGTACCGGCGGATGGCCGCGTAGCACCGATCGCACTCGACCGTAGTGTCGGTGAAGATCTTGAGCTGGCGGCCCTCTGTCCCGTGGATCAAGAGGCCGTTCGTAATGTCCGCGAGGCGCTCAATGTGCGCCGCCGTGAGCGCGCCCAAGAGCTGCGCGTGGTTCTCCTTGTCCGTGTGCTTGTAGTACGCCAACTCGGCACGTTTGCACACCAAGAAGCGTTTCTTCCAGGACCGCACGAGACTGCCCTCTTTGAACACCCACCCGGCGTACGTCACGGGGTCGTCGGGCTTCATGGCGTGTGTATGGTACGTATGGCGTACGTCCTATAGACAGACAGACAGACAAACTGAGTGAGTGAGTGAGTGAGTGACGGCGGCAGTAGATACAAAGTGGACGAGTCGCTTGGTCGGGTCTTTTCCAGAAACTCGCGCACAGGTCGGGCGGGTTTTGTGGATAATATGGCTACGTACAAATTGGGTACGAGATCGGTGCGGTGGGCCGCGAAAGGGACTGCGAACAAGTGCCAAGTGCAGTCGGTCGATTAGTGACTCGAATAGAGTGTGCGTTTCGAGGCAATAGAGCAGCGATTTGGTTTCCATGACAGTGTCGGATGGTACACGTCACGTCTGCTGTTATACCAAGTGGCGCGAAGTGAGCTGGTCGAATGTGCGACGCGGATACCTCAGACGGATTGACAATAGCTGCCTGTCTGAATGTACATTCTATCTCGAGCATGCAAGAAACGCCACGACGCGAGACGTTCACATCCTCCACTGACTTGAGTGCCTGTGCCGGGTTTCAATCTATCCTCAATCCACGTTTTCGACCGACTACTTGCACCATAATCTCAGCCGACTGTTGGGGATCCGACCAACCAAAGCAGTCAACAACATGCTTTCATCCATCAAGTAACTACTTCCAACGCTGGACTCCGACCCCCCTCGTCGCCCGTGTATTCGTATAGCGGTAAATTAACGTACGCAGCATAAAGGCAAAACAAACCACTATCCGAAAGCACTACCACTACATCACGGTGCAGCATGGAGCACAGCCAGTGATCGGAGCTCCTCCGCCAGCTATCTTTTCCTCCAAACGTTGGATCCGCTCGTCTTCGGCACGTAATTTGCGGTAGTAGTCTGCATCGGCAGTACTTAGTCCCATGTCTTCTTTCTCCTCATCTTCTTCGTCAAAGGTCAACTCACCCTTGAACGAGCGGGATGTGTTCGTCACGTCGTTGTTGCGAGCTTCCAGCAGCGTTGCTTTTCCTTCTATATCGCATAGTCGCATGAACGTATCATTGCTGATTGCATCATTGAGGTAATCGCTCGGGTTGAATCGACTGAGTCGCCTTGTATCCCTTACACTATCGCCTTCTTCGTCAGAGTCGACCACGTCAGTGATCTCGCCGACGTCGGCTGTTTCGCTGCCGGAAAAACGGACTTTCGAAAACACTTGATACCAGGCATTCATCGTCGCTTCACTCGCAGCAGTCACGCGCATTGTCTTGCCGCTACGGAACTCGATCACTAGAGTGTGAGGCCTAGAGCTGTCCTGGCAAGCACCTTTCACCATACCATGCCCGCGTGCTGCGCCTCCGATCTCGGTGTAGTAGATTAAAGCACTGTTCTTTAACGTGAAGAAACGCTTCTTCCAAGTCTTGAATCGTTGACCCTCCTTCAGCAACCAACCACTGTGAGTGATCACCTCCTCACTTGGTGCATTTTCCATAAAATCATTCATCGATAGCGCCGTCGATACTGTCGACCTCCTGTCGTGTAATTTCGAGGCAGCTCTTTGAATCGCACTGAGCCATCGATCGGACTCGTCGTTTGTGTCAGCCTGGAGTATTAGCTTTCGACCACCAATCGTAGATACTATCAGTCCATTAGACACGGACGGGTGCACAGCAACACCGACAACATTTACAGAGCGCAAAAGAGAACCCTTTTCACACTTGTAGTAGCTCAGCTTTGCTCCATACAATGTAAAGTATCGCCGTTTCCAGCTCTTGACATTCCCTCCCTCCTTCCTTAGCCATCCCACACAGCCAAGTGCTTTATCCAAGGAGATGGGAGACACTTCGCTTACTTGAGGAACAATCTCAGCCTCATCAATTTCGTCACATTGATCAGAAGACGACGCGCTAAGTGCGTCGTACTCGGGCTGGTTATGCATAGCTGCAATCCACGCGGAAGCTCCTCCACCGTCACGTAGACTAACTTCGTACTCAGAGATGTCATCGGCGGTGAACTCCACACCCGCGTCATTCACGTTTTCATTCACTTCTACGTCATTGTCGAATTCTTCGCCAATAACAGCTAAGCCATTACTCTGCGATAAAAAGGACTCGGCCAGATTGGACGCCTTCCGAAGCACATCGAGCCATTTCGCAAATGCTTCTTGAGTTGGCGCCACGACATGCAGCAGTCGACCATTCTGAAATCGAATGTTGAGACAAAATGGACGAAGGTCTCCCACGTCTATCTCAAACACGACACCAGAGCCCAACACCTCACTACCGGCAGCTGCAGAATACGAGAGACGACTCCTCTCGAGCACGAAATACCGCCGTTTCCAGGTTTTAAAATTTTGCCCTTTCTTCAACAGCCACCCGCGGAAACTGTTGTCGTCGAAGAACTCCTCTGCTTCTTGATCGAGGACTGCTTGGCTCTTTGCTGTTTCTTCTGCAAAGTCCCATACGGCATTGCAGAAAGCAGCATACCACGCAGTGGTGTCAGCTTTTGTTTCGCCGTAAACGTTAAGTGTGCGCCCGTCGTCAAATCGAACACAAATGGACCCTGCTGGCTCGATATTATGAGCGACGCTGGCCACATTTCCAAGCTTCTCAGACATCCCGTTCATGTGCTCGTGTTGGACGAGAGTATTGTCGCTGAGCACAAAGTACCGCAACATCCACGACGCCGAACCGCTGCCTTGCCCATACAACCACCCCCGCTTCACGTGATTACGACCTGCAGCACTCAGTGTCCTAGGTTTTGCCTCCAGCCCATCATTGCCGTTACGCATGGATACGTTTCTTGGAAAAGGCGGCAGCTGCATCTTACTCGATCGACGCTTTCTCGCCAATGGAGACAACGATCGAGAACCTCCTGCAGTCCGCGGTTTTCCTACTGCGTCACACAGTGCGCGCATCCACTCGTCCAGCTCTCGAGTTGGCTCAACACGGATGCAAATCGTGTCTCTGTCACGAGGTGACTTTTCCGAGCCGAACTCAATCACAAGTGCATTCGAGTACCTCCTGCTGTAGCGAACACTTGTCACGCGCACTTCCGCCGACAACTGCTCCAGGGGACCCTTGCGGTACTCGAGCATCCCGTTTGCCAACGACATGTACCGTTTCTTCCACACTTTACTGCGCTGTCCAAGCTTCTCGACCCAGCCTTCACACACGGCAGTCGAGTCGATTTGACCCACACGCTCTGTATCGTCCATCGTCCCATTGTCTTGGCGTCCTGCTTGTTCCATCAGCACCGACGGCAAACCCAGCGCCGCTGCGAGCGCGCGGTCCCAGTCTTCAATCTCTTTTCTCGACTCGGCGGCCACGTAAATCACTTTTCCTCGCTGCGCAATCAGTCGCAACGACAACGACCTGCTCGCGTCTGCTTCGACCTTTACGACCGTCTGGAAATCCACCAGCGCCGCCTTCGGAGCGGCATAAAACTCGATCGTCCGTCCACGCAGCACCACGTAGCAGCGCTGCCAATACGACATGGACGGCAACAACGACGACGACGATGGCGGCGGCAGGCCGTCTGTCTTTTGTAGCCATCCTTGCTTGTCAATCGAGCTGTCGAGCTGTTCGTGGCTCGTGGCCCGTCGGAAACTCGTCTCCTGTTCGCCAATCGCTTCTTTGATCTTGCGCAACAGCACGCGGCTCTCTTCAATGTTTGCAGTGGTCATCGTCAACTCTTTCTTTCGATCGGCTCCATAAATTAATAATCCATTCTTCCGGTCGGGCGAGTACGCCACGTTCACGACCTTCAGACGCCCTCGCTCGTCCACGCCCTCGCCGCTGCCGTCGCTCTTGGCGCCCGCGTAGTAGACCAGCTCCCGGCCGCGGAGCACAAAGTACCGGTTCTTCCACGACCGCACTTTGCTGCCCCGCTTCGCGCCCCAGCCGCAGTAGTCGGGGGCGCTGCACGGCATGATAAAGTCACGCAAACGACGGTCTACTTGTCATAGAGTGTGGCGATTGTTTTAGTTGAGACTGGCTATTGTTTGATTCATGTTATGGTAGTGGCAGCTGGTGGATGCTGTATCGAAGCAGGGTAAGGATCCAAGTAGCCGTATAGAAACGCGGGATAGAACGTGACTGCGGATTTGCAGTGGAGCCCGCCCGCCCGCCCTATCGACATTCATGCAGTGGATGGGGCAGAAAACACAGAAAACACAGGTTACCGGCCCCGCCATTCCAATTCAAAGCGTCACGTTGTAACAACGAGCGACACCGCCAGCTGCTCACTGGGTACGTGTCCCACAACGCTGTGCCCAATTTGCTGCACACAGTGTGGCAAACACCGTTTACATACTCGGGCCTCTATTATGTGTCGTGTTTGCGACGTTCGTGCTGACAAACACCTGATCCACTGCATTCTTTTGCCACGGGCTTCCATGCCCTCCTGCACTGGCGGTCACGACCGTTGCGTTTGTAGTCGGGGCTACACATGACTCGACATGCAAAGATACGGAGAAAAGCCGACTTGGCGAAGTGGGTAGTTGAGTGCCATGTGTGAATATTGTTGCACACGTGAGACACGTGAACAACAGCATCGGCACGTACAATGAAAGGGATACGTACGTACGTAGGAATGAACCGCTTATGTCGTTGACGTCGCGAGCTGTCAATGCTCTTTGTTTTCAGTCAGCTCAACGCAACCAGGTGCAAAAACAGTCGCGTCGCGAGAAGCTGTACTTATCGCTACAGACCTTACGAATCCACAGTCTCCTGTACCTATAGCTGGATCGACTCGAATCAACAGTTTCTGGAGACGCTCCCAAATGTACGTCGGGTCACAACGATTGTCAGTTCAACGATAGAGCGCATAAGCGATCGATACAGTAGACGCAACGCTCTCGAGCTTTGTGCCAGCGCATAATAGGAAGTTGCGGGCGAAAGCGCAATGCACTCCCGATAAGAAGCCACGGTTGCACGAGTAGGACATGAAGCAGCCGCGGGTTCTGAAGCATCGCAGGTGCGAGGGAAGTGAGTGCGCGAGAAAAAGAGACGCGGTGTAACCAGAGCTGTGCACGCTGCAAGACATTGGAAGAGGAGGCAACTACGACTTTGCTGCAATGATCGAAATTCGATGAACGCAGATCGATCCGCTCGTGTTCTGCGTGTCACTTCTCCCAACGTCCTATGCGCGACGACAAGCGAAACTTTGTCGCGGGTCGATGTTGACGGCCAATGGACGTGATACCATTGGCTTGACACCGTCACTTGGACGCCGTTTTGCAAAACGTAACATGTCATTACAGAACATCTGCCGTCACAAAGTAAGCCGTCAACGAGCGATTATCGTGGGCGTGCGGTCTTGTACAGAGGTCTGACATCCAGTGGAACAGTCGTGAACACTGACTGACCTTATCGCTTGGAGGCAGAACTCGATACGTGACAAGTCAGCGGTCCAGTGTGCTCGACGATAAGGCGGTGGGATCGATAAAGCATTCGTCACGATACATGACGACGCTAGAATACTGCAATGTGGAGACGTAGATGGCTGCGTGTACTGTACTTGGTACCACTTGACTCGACGATAGAGTGGGAAGGAGCAATAACGACGGGTCTTGCACTTGAGAACCCTAATCGAACCGCAACGTGACGATTGACCGGCGCTATTTGTTTCGCATACACCATCTCGTGAGATCTTTTGAGGAAGAAACTGCCCAAAAACCAGACAGCTCTTGTCATTTTTCTTGTAGAAGCTGCCAACCAGTCTAAAGTGAGGCAAACTGCGACGTACAAGTTCACAATTGTGGCATGCAAAGCACTCATGAGCTTCGTTTCTTAAGTTATTGCATCGAAAACAAGGATAAATCGGTCGAGATTCAGGTGCTTGCGTATCGAACAGGTGGACACGACGTGAAGCACTCAATGCGGATACATTGTATTTGCCCAATTCCTACCTCTACGCCTCTGCGGTCTAATATTTGCGCTCCAACCAGTAGCTAAGCGCGCCAACAAGAATGTCGTAGCTCACAGCAATTGCCATGTACAGGACTACATCGCTGCCGCCACTCACATTCAGACGCTGCAGGTACTTGTAGCGTTCACACGGGACGCTCAGCGTGCTGCTGCATACTGAAGCAGGCGCTCGACCGGACACTTCGCTCATCGTCATGTAATGGAAGTTCGGGTCCCCTTGCGGCGATTTCGGCTGCTGGATCGAGATCGACGTCGTGACTTTGCCCTGCGAGATGACCTCCGACATGAGCAGACAGCGGTAGCCCTGGCGCTTTGATTTCTTCACAAAACATACATTCTCCTGCCGTAGACCGCCATGCTGCACGTCGGGCACCATGCGCTTTATTGCAACCATGTGGTGCACGTCTCCGGCATATTTCGTCAGCGACAGCGTGAAGATCTCGCCGTAGTCCATGTGGCGCAACGACCATTGCTTGCGAGACGTCCGCACGATCTCGAAGAGTTTGCGACGACCAAAGCCGTACACAATGCACTGCTTGAGGCCATGCATGGGGCGAAACATGCGCTTGTCCAGAATGTAGATCGTGTCCGAGTAGTAGGAAAGCACACTACGAGACCTCATGAGCGTCTCACTCGCCACGGTAGAATGACGAATCTGCTTTGCTGTCTGTGCCTGCTGATGGAAGAAATCGCCGTATCGCTTGACAGATGCGTAGTACGCGTTGCACATACACGGTGTACCGGACACTAGTGTCTCGTCGTGCGACTCCAATAGCTTCTCAAGCTCACGCGACAACATAGAGCCCTTCGTTGCTCCGACAAGATCCTGATACGTCGAGTTCATGAGCAAAGTGTCCATGTCCGAAATAGCGTCCAGGACGTCCCGTACTTCCGTAGACATCTTAACAGGCGACGTGCACATCCGCTTGAGCAGCCCGAGAATGCCGCCTTTCAGACAGTTTGTCTCAACAAACTGCAACTGGTCTGCACACGCCTTGTCTCGTGACAGCTTCCTGAATATCTTCAGTGTCTTCGACGGTGAGCACACAAACGTCTGGTGCGTACGTCCGAGCGCGATTTCGTACTGAAACACATTGTTTCCAGACCTGTTGTCCAGTCCATTTCCAGCTTGGCATGGCCGTATGTCGACGCGATGGCACGGGATCTGCTCGGCTGCTCAGCAATGACAACACAAGGGGTGACACTCCATACACCTTAGCAGCTACGACAATCCACGACTCACGCACCGACAAGGACTGGCTTGGGGTCATGCAATGCACACACATACGTCGGTATCACATCACTCTTCCCCTCTGCATCGTCGACGTCGTCGTCTTCCTCGTCCTCTGCTTGACCAACTTCCCTCTCGTCCTCAATACCCACGTCGGAGTCGGCCCGCGTCGACACGTCGTCTTCCTCTGTCCGCAGCGACCCCCCGTTCCCCGTCTCCGAGCTGTGGTCGGTCTCCGTCCTCGACACATTACACTCAGCTTCGTGGTCGGCCTCGTGCTTTGCTGTCGTCTCCAACTGAGCTCTTCGCTTGACAGCTGCGGCCCACTTCCGGGCCAGGAGGTCACTGGCAGGACAGGTGCCCCAACTGCTGCTACATGACGCAGTGGGCGTTAGGGTTATGTACAGGTCCGTGGCCATTGTCAAAGGGGCCACTGGCGCGAGAGGGCGCGGGAATAGCACTCTATGGACAAAGCGACTGCTGCTGCTGCTGCCGTCGTCGTCTCCTCTGACACACACACACACACAAACACGTCGCGAAGCTCAGCGGGTAAGTGGACCCCTAGCGCGAGGCGTGCGACAAGAGGCCGCTCAATCGCAGGATGGGAGCTCGGCGAGCCGGACGTTACCTGATCTTTTTGGCTGGGGACAAGAGCGGGGCGAAGACGCAGGAGCGAGCGCTTGTCTGCTTGAAGCTCAGCAGCACTTTGGGGTGCCGATGCACGTGCAAAAACAACGCACACGCGCACACACACACACAGTTGAGAGAGAGAGAACAGATTGTCTATTTACTGGTTAGTGCAAGATCTCTGGTAGGTTGTTAACCACACTAGCAACGCTGGAGGGTCCAGGCATTGCCTACGGCTGGCAGCCTGGCTATGAAAGCCGGGCTGCCCTCTCGGTTCTGATATAAATATGTCGTAACATGCAGAAAGTTGGGCGCCACGCACGGCCGTGTCAGCCCTGCAATGGAGACGTTTGATGAGCGCCCGCAATTGAAGCTGAATCCTCCCCCAAATCATGGCTTCACTGGCTTGCATCGGGATTTTCGCATTGTGAAAAACTCTGTCCACGCGGTGTTGCCAGAGCATTGTGATGATGACGGTCCCTGCGACCTCCCAGATCGTCCTCCAGGCCGTGGCGAATTGATCGATGTCGTCTGGGTATCTGACTAACAGCATTGCCGTGACCTGCGGCGAAATGCGTGGTACTCTACAGTTTGCGCAGTGCTCGAGCCAATCCAGTATATGGTGAGGCTTATGAGGTGTGCTCTCCCAATGACTGATGAGCCGTGCCCAGATTGCCTGTGCACGGGTACATTCCCAAAAGAGATGCTCCTGGGTCTCCTTCTGTCCGACACATTCTCGATACGTGCAAGACCCGTCCGGAGGCCGGTCCTGATACCAAAAGTTTAGCTGACCGGTAGCGTGGCGGTATCGTGTCCATAGCTGATATTCCGTCACCGCGTGTCCGTGACCCCATAGATGAGCCGGCGAGACATCGAGAGCTGCGCGTTGCCAACGGTTATGCTGGCTCTTGGTGCCCAGTCTATCAATGACCTGCTTCAGCGGTGTCGCAAGACACCGCTTAGCCGACTTGAAAGCTTGCCGTTTCAGGAACGAGAAGACGTGATGATTGGGAACCGTTAGCGGAGCGGACCATGGAAAGCGGTGGACCTGTGGGTTGAAAAAAAAGACGACCCCATTTCGGATGAGCCTGCATTCCGCGAGTTGGGTGATTTCCTGCGTTTTTCCTTGGACCCGCGGCGGTTCCCCGTCGAAAACCCATGAAATGCCATTCTGGCATTGAATGAGCTCCCAACGCTGAGGGTGAATAGAATTGTCCGAGCCAGAAGTGCCCCGAACCCTACCCGGCCCGACCGGCACCCAAGTGATGGCTTGTGTGAAAGGGGGCTGATGCCTTAGCCGGAGTGGGGCCGGGGCCCCCACCGGATTTCCTACATCAAGTGACGGCGACGAGAGTAAGACGATGATCGCCCATTCTCGAAGTTTGGCATGGGAATGGCGGGGGGCGAGGAGGTCCGGGCAAATGCCGCCGAAGACATATTCCTGGGGTCCTGTCCGCTGGATATGGAGTTGTTCAAAGGAGATATCGCCGATCCTGTCATACTTGGACCGGGACAACGCCGATGCCTGTGGGGTGAGAACCCAAGGGTTTCCACTCCACCGGAAAGTCAGCCAGAAGTCTTCGATCCCCTGGGGCCAAAACTCTACTGACTGAGGCCGACTGGGAAGGGGTTCAGAGAGATGCAGCACCCAGTCGTTTTCTTCCCACCAGCTCGTCGATGATGATCGAAGGGTCGGTAGATGGTCCTGTACCCGTGCGAGAATATCATCCGTTTGCGCGGGTGTCGGCGTCAATGTGCATCCGAGCTCATAAAGTACATCCAGATACCGCTCTGAAGACGGCGATACAATGTGTCGCACGCTCGGTCGATGCGGACTGATGGCCGGGATGTGTGCACCATGCGTAACCCAGGACACCCACGCTGAGTGATAACCATCCTCTGGCCGAGTAAGTGCCAGTAGCGCGTGTTTTACCCGCTGGGTTTTGATGGCGACGGGGACCGAAACGAGGCCGATTCCGCCTGCCTTACGGGGAGCGTAAAGGAGGCCTGGAGCGACTTTGTGTCTCCCGGGTTCAATCCTGTTGGACGTCTTCCAGAGGAACTGTTTGTAGAGATGATCCAGCTGTTTGAGCGCCCAACCGGGGGGCTCGAAGACCGCTGCCGTGAACAAAATCCCGGGTAGAACTATCGCATTGAGTATAAGAACTCGGTGCTCGAGGGTCGTCGAAACTCGCGTTGCAGTGAGGAGGCGACGCTGTGCATTTTTGATGCGGAGAGCCCAGTTAATGTTGCGTAACTTTCCTGTACCCACTTGATAGCCGAGATACCTCGTAGTTGTTGACGGAGCCACCACTGCGATTCCCTGATACGTAGGTTGCCGGATAGCCGTGTTTAAAAATATGAGGTGGCTTTTTGTCGGTTGCACCTGCAACCCCGAAAGCCGCCCAAACTCCATAATGATGTCCATAGCCGGTCGTAGTAGACTGGCTTCTTGTAGAAACAGGGTTGAGTCGTCGACAAACCCCGAAAATATATGGGGCTGTGTGTGTACTCCTGGAAGTGTGAGCCCGTGAAGTTGGGGCGACGTTTGTATTGCAACGGCCAGCACCTCGACTACCACCAGGAAAAGAAGAGGAGCGAGGGGACAGCCCTGCCGAATGCCAGACCGAACCGGCCGAATTGATGAAAGCTCACCGTTGACCGAAAAACGTGCCGTCGTGTTGGTATGTAGCCTCTGAATGAGCGCTAGAAAGTTCTCGGCAAACCCGAATAGCCGGAGCGCCTCTACTATGAAGTCGCGGTCGACCGTATCATAGGCCTTCCGAAAATCTAGTAAGACAACGACGCGGCTGGCGTCGGCGTCCAAAGTACACTCCTCACGTGCACTTTGGAGGTGAGCAAGCATCATTGAGACCGTCTTTTGCATTTGTCGTCCGTGAACAAAGCCTTGTTGAGAAGAACCGATGACATGTGGCAGACACTGCTGCATACGCGTCGCCAAGACCTTCGCAATTACCTTGTACCCCGTTTGCAACAGAGAGATCGGTCGATAGTCCATGGCGTCGTCGGAATCTCCTTTCTTACGTAGCGGGATGATGAGCGCCTCCATAAACGACTTGGGTGGTTGCGCACCTTGGATGATCTCGTTAGCTATCTCCACTAACGGCGGTACCAACAGCGACTGAAGATCCTTGTAAAAATCGTTCCCTAAGCCGTCGGTGCCGGGGGCTTTATGCCTACTGAGGGCTCGGATTGCGAGTACCACCTCTGCCTCCGTTATATCTGCCGTCAGGGCTCGGTTTTCGGCGGTGGTGACTATGCGGTCAGAGGGGAGAGCGACAAAATGCCGCAGAGCCGTACGCAGTTCTGCGACTGGGACTATACGGTGGCTCTGCCCCAGCACATGATCCCATTCAGAACTGAACTTGTCGGCGACGCTACAACCTACTAGGAATGGATCACCGTGGAGTCTCCTGATGGCTGTAACACGTTGGTCACGCTCCCAGTCCGACACCCGTTTAAACTTCGCGCGAAGTTTCTCCGTTGTACGTTGGAGAACCAAGCCAACCCGACAGATGTGAGCTTCCTGTTGATCCTCGGTTTGGGCGTGGTGCCAAGCCTGTCGGGTAAGCAGTGGCCGTCGTGATCGCCGTCTCAGCCTGTCGATGTACCGTGTCCGCCGTTGCCTTAGCCTGCGGGCGGTGGTTGTGATCCCCCGTCGGACGCGGCGAACGCCGTGATCCCAGGTCAAGACCGTGGATAACTCAGTAATGCCGCCGTTTGTGAGGCAATCGATGAGTTCAGCGACGGCGCCGGCCGGGTTCGCACAACGTATGGGGTACGCAACTTTACCGGGATGGCGATGCCTGTTCCGTTGCCCAGCCGAGATATGCAAGGTGACTTGCTGGTGATCAGAAGCCGATGGTGGAAGAATAGTTTCTAACCATTGCACTCGGTCCCCCCATGTGTGGGGTACGTAAAAACGATCAAGTCTGCTGGCTGCTGACCCCGCCCAATACGTGAAGTGGGTAGATGGCTCCCACTCCAGGGCATCGTCCGGGTGAGGAACCAAATCCAGCGCATCAACTAGCTGACAAATGTCAGCGAGCAAATCCAAAGCTGGGCTTTCAGTGCGACTAGCCGAGCGTAACCCCAGCCGGTCGAGCGAGGGATGTTGGACACAATTAAAATCCCCGGTTAGAATGACTGGGGCAACGGACCGCTGCACCGCTTTCAGACCCTCGAAAAACAATTCCCTTGCCGACCGTTCGTTTGGTGCATAAATGTTAACGAGCAAGAAGTCGTCCTGGACAGATAACGCAATTTGTCTCGGCGTGGTCAGGAGGCCAGGCCATGGTTGTGCCGACTGGGCCATGGCCGGTGTCAGAACACACACACAGTTGACGCACTCACTGTATCTGATGTCGTGTTTTTTTTCTCAGATGGTAAAAAATGGCTCGTGGGACGCGTTTTTCGGCTTTGAGGTTGGGATGTTGGACTTTCCAGATAGAGGAGGAGATGGAGCGACAGGCAGCACTATCCATCTGGCTACGTCTCTATTAGTGTCGATCTATCGATCTATCGATCTATCGATCGATCTATCTATCGATATTCGGTTCGCCGTCGGCATCAGTGTCGACTGCCTATCGAGCGGTTTAGGGCAAGTGGATGTGGGTGGTGGTGGTGGTGTCAAGTACGTCCATTATTATGATAACTAACGACTGATAAGTGTGACAAGAAGTACGGCCCGGGTATCGGGTCGACAACTAAAGGGCTCCGTAGAGCCAGGGGCGACGGCAACGAGGTCAGAGACCCTCCTACCGAAGCCAAC